GTCTCGGTACCAAATACTGAACTCCCTGCACCGGTAAGGGATCTGCATCCATGAGAGCCCCTGCGTCGATCCGGTGCCAGATGTGCCGGTCAGAGAGCCTGCCGCATGAGGAAGGGAACCGGTGCATGTGTCCCTCCAAGGGTCTTCGCACTGACCAGAGCGCCACTGTCTCCGCATCACCAGAATAGCAGCGGTGATGAAGCCTTGGGATGAGACGGAATGTCCCTCAGTTCCTCATGAAAAATGTTATCTGCGCAGTTTCGAAACTGGTTATCTGAACGGAATAAGCAGTTACAGCAACACGAGCAAGAGAGATTGCACCATTGTATCATTGCTTCGTGGTGCTGTACGTGGTAATCCGCCCCGATGATCAATCAGAAAATCGCACAAATAAAACACATTGGTCGGGATATCTTCTACGGTATGTTAATTTATATCATAAAGCGTTTGAAAGTGCCACTTTCCGATACACGATCACTTTCCCCCGTCGGTTCACTGCCTCTATGTTGCTAGACAGACGCGGCGCAACCTACGGAGACTGCAACTCCGGAAGCCGGTGCTCTTTTTGGCAGGCGGTGAGCGCAAGTGTTTAAAATTACTTGATTTATATTTGTTTCGATGATAAGGCTCTAAACAAAAGATGGACTTCCCCAGGCGATCAGGGAATGGGCATATCAAAGCAAAGTTTTAACCCAGCTTCAAGCCACGCTGGCCCTCAATCCACTGGCCCCTCGACATCACTGGAATCCGAGAAAATCCCTAAACACTTTGACTATTAGTGTCGGATAAAAAGGTACGAATGAACTGTTTTTAGATCACAGGTGACTGCTTATGATGCAGTCATTTCATTTCTGCTTAACTTAATGACATTTGCGTCTTATGCATGATAATTTCAAATATTTTCCTTCATTTTAGCTTCTCTGGAAGCCGAAAAAGCTCAACATACAAAAACAAAGTAAATTTATTTGTAGAAAGAAAGTGAGGCAAAACATTCAGTGATGTTGCGAGTTCTGCAGCCTGCAACGCGTTGCGTTATTTTGCGCCAACGTCTCGACGGAAAAGGAAAAAAACCGTCTGCTTTTAGCAACCAAAAGCACGACGAATTTACTAGCAGCCTACGTGCGGAGTGAATATACAATGGAGCAGTTATAACAGCTGGCGATCCACGCTAGCTGACCAAGCTGATAGTGGTAATCTTTCGACAACGACCACCTAAATAACGCTAGCCGTGGCAAACATACCTAGCGCGACCTAGGTATGTTCGTAGCTAGGTGTGTCACCGTGCAGCTACCGGTGACAGCCCTTAGAAGCAGTTTTCCTCATTTTTGTGTTTTTTGACTGAAATAACTATCCTGAAGAATATTCGTTTCAGTTAACAGACCTGCCCTTCTCAAGATCTAAACCTCTCTACTTTTTTAGCTAAACGCTCGCGAAGATGTGCATGCTAATTTGGGGAAACTGCTTCAAGGTCACCCGGGCAACCATGTTGCCTTAATAACGTCATTCAAATCCTGCCATCCCATTAGCCGTACGGCGATGAAGGCCGAGCAAAATGTAATTATCGAGTCGTTCATATCTGAAATTTGTGAGCACGATTTCCGATCATGACGGCCGTCAATTGGCTCTCAATGAATGATGTGCACGGCGCGATGACGTAATGCGACAATGATATGTTAAGGAGCATGTTTATTAAAAATAAAATTATGTTGTCTAGAGTAGTCTTTTCTGTTGATAAGTATACCAGCAGTTATAAGTAAGCTAATTTCATCATATCTGATGCTTACTTCAATACCTTCAAATATGGAGCGTTCCCTCTTACTATACCTTATGTGAGGTACACGATTTTCGTAATTGTATGATGATTTAATCGGTTATTGCTAACAAGCTACAAAAATATGAAATCGCTGGATGGGACCGGACGTGGCGTGATATGACCTCACGGGATTGGGTGGCAACGGGCGGGACCGGACGGATGCGGACGGTACGAGACGGGGCCAGACACAATTAGACGGGGTCGAAGGGCACCAAACGTGACTGAATGTAGCAAGACGGAACACAAAGGGAGCGGACGGAATCGGATGGAACCAGATGGGACCGAATGGAACAAGACTAAACCGGACGGGACGAGACCGGATGAAACCGGATGGAGCCATACAGATCAGATGGCATCAGACGGGACCGAAAAGGACGGATTCACAAGGAAGCGGAAGATGGCGCATTGAGGAGGATGTTTACTTAATATATAAATTGTGTTGTCTATCAGTCCCTTGCATTGCAAAGCATACCGACCATTACGAGTGAGATTATTTCATCATGTCTGATGCCTTGCTTTAATATCTTCAAATTTGGATGGAAAGAGAGTTGCCCTGTGCTGGATCCCCAGTCACGTCGGTATCGTGGGCAAGGAGCTGGCTGATGCCGCTGCTAAGCGAGCAGCGGTGGCACCATATACCCGGTTTTTGCCTATCCCTGCCAGCGATTTGTACCCGGCAGTCAAGACCTTCCTGGGAAGCAAATTGCAGCGTTGTTGGAACCAGGTGGGTGGCAATAAGCTCAGGGCGATAAATGCCAAGTTGGGCTTGTGGTCGCCATGCTCTCGCAGTGTGCGGTGGGAAGAAGGTTTTATGTATGCTGCGCATTGGGCATACGTATGCCACTCATGGCCATCTGTTGCAGGGAACCGACAGACCCCTATGCCAGCGGTGTGGTGCCGTCCTCACTGTCCATCATGTCATTGTATCATGTCCATGCCTCATTGAGGAACGACGACGTCACTTTGGTCCGCAGGCTTCTACCCTGACGATTAACGATGTGCTCGGTGACAGTTCCTTCTTTCTTGATTCCAAACAGCTTTTTTCGTTTTAAAAAGATATTGATTTTCAATTCATTTTCACACCGTACTAATTAAGTAAAAGCATCGTTATGGGCGCAAAATGACCGCTGCAGTCGACGCGACCGAAGACACCAATGAACAACAAATCTTCAAATTTGGAACATTCCCTCTTATACATAGCCTAGTCTACACTTCGGGGCCCCTAGTCGGGCCTAGATCGTCGGTCCCATGGAGGCCTAAGTCTTTTTCTGCTTAGTAAATTTGCCCCTAAATACGTGATTATTTAATTACGTCATCGTACATCGCTCAGTATGATTGAAAGCCAATTGATGGACCTTATATCTGAAAATCGTTCTTACGAACACCAGATATGAACGAATCGACAGTTATATATTTCTTGACCCTGATCGCGGCATAGGTAATGGCATGGGATAATTTGGAGGACGGGTTGTAGTGGCGTCATGGATGCCTGGGTGGCTTTAAAAGGTCTTCCCGAAATAGCCTGCACATCTTCGCGGCGTGTAGCTCAGAAACTAGAGTGCCTTAGGCCTCAAGAAGGGCAGGCTGTGAACTGCATCGCATGATTTTCAAGATGGATAATTCAGTTAAAAACCCGATACAAATGTGAAACACTTCCTTTAACGTACCCTCGTTGTGCCCCTCGTCACTGATTTCGAACCGGTTTTACTGCACAATGACATGATAAACAATCAGAAGTCAGAATTCAGACCCATCAATACCACATCGATCTATGCTGATGCAAGGTACCTCTAATCAGCTGGTGAAGCTACGAAACTACCGTAGACAGTAAGCTCAGCTTGGAGTGTTTGTCACGATGACTCACATGGCCATATCACTAGCATGCTAGTATACCCGGTGTGTTGTGGTCTATTTTACTCTCGACCCCCATGAGACGTTTTGAGAGAAAAGCACCGACATAATTCGGACTGTTCTTCCAGTGGCCTTCTGGCTGCTGATGAGCGAGTCAGAGTGGCACGTTCAGCTGTCTCGTAGCCTCTCATGACATGTAAAATACGTCTTTCTAATTGCTTTGGATGACTTCCTGAGGCTCGAGCCGACGCTGAGCAGTGTGTTGCTGTGCGAACCCTGGCTGACCGACCAACCGACTACAAAATTCCAACTAAACGGCAGAACTTTGCGACATAAGTTTAACGCATCGAAATGTTCGGTTTGGCTCACCCCGCTGATCTGGGGTGACCGCTGATCCCGGCTGCAAGCCCTCCCAGTCAGGGGCAAAAAGCGGGCGCCGAAGCAGCTCGAACCTTGAAGCTAACCACCGTGGCGTAGCTGAGTTGGTGGAGACACTAACTCATTTAAATACAATGGCGACCAGTCGGTGATTTTACCACCGAGCAAAAAGCCTCATTGAAATATAGGGACCCGTGGGCTTGGGGGCCGTTCGGTTTCAGTCTTTCGTTCATTCTTGGCCCCGTCCCAAATTTGGATACGCTACCACTGACCCGGTCCCATCCAGTACCATCGGGTTGGTTTCCAATCCTATCCGGTTCCGTCCGGTCTTGTTCTATTGCGTCACGGCCCGCGCAGCACTGCCCGGCTCCGTGCCGGCTCGTCTGGCAAAGACCATGGTCTCATCCTGTCTTGCCCAGTAACATCTGCGTTCATCACACTCCACCCAGTGCCGTCTGTTCCAGCCCGTTCCTTTCTGACTGAGTCTAATCCTAACGAGACCCATCCAGTCCCGTTCAGTCCTTTCCATTCAGCCCGGTTCCGTCCGGTGCCATCCAGTCCTAGTCGGTCTCATTACGTTCCATGCAGTCCTATCCGACACCATCCAGTCTCGTTCGTTCACTTTTATTCCGTTCGTTCAGTTCCCGTTCGGTCTTTTCCATTCAATCCGGTTCCGTCCGGTGCCATCCAGTCCCACTCTGTCTCATTACATTCCATGCAGTCCTATCCGATAGCGTCCAGCCCCATTTGTCCAGTTTCTCTGTCCAGTTTCGTCCATTCTCTTCATGTGTTGTTCAGTCCCGCGCGGTCTCGTGCGGTAGCATCACTGGCTGGCAGGGACTTGTGGTTTTGTTACGTCACGATGCAGTGAGCTGCACGTGATTGACGTCAATGTGTGTCCGAATAATCAGCTGACACCCGCACCACATATTTATGCGGCCTTGATTAAGGCGTCGCTCGCTGTGGAAGGGGCGGGTGCCGGTGGCAACTGTCGTGTGACAGGTCATTTGTTGGTGTTTTTGGTTCAAATTTCTTAATCGAGGTATTGTGAAGTATCTTGTGCATCTTTGCATCTATCATCTATCATCATCATCATGATATTTTTTGCTAAACCCAGTACCCTTACTATTGCGGTTTTGGAAATCCCGTGCCGAAATACTAGACTTAAACCTTCGCTTGCCAAAATTATTGAGTGATAATGCCTGTGTGATATGTTTAAACCGCGGATTTCGGAGTCATTTCAGTGATGATGCTGATGTACGCCATGTTTGAATTGGGTTTATTTTCATTCATTTAACTACATTTCTTTGTCCAGATAAAATGAACATCCAGAAGCTGGAAATGGAGGCCCAGCACCTGGCCTGGCAGCAGGTGGCAAACATGCTGCAGCGGCCTGATCAACTGGAGAAGGTTAACCAGTATAAGCAGCGGTCAGTAAGCCAGTTTTGAAATAAGTTAGATAAATGTATGAGAGCTGTGTTGTGAAAGCCTATGGTGTGACATGACTGTGTAAGACATTTTATCAATGCCCTGGCTCACATGTGCAGCCTTGGAGTCACTGTAGAGTGCATAATTTTAAGTAGTGTTAGGGCTCTGATGTAAATTAAAATCATCTTGTATTAGAAGATGTTGCAAAGCCTATGGTTAGCACAACTGCCCTGGTTTTGATGTGGATTGTGGGCAGGGAATTGGACTATGACAGCAAGTGGTGGCATGACAGGCTTAGCAGTAACTACACTTTGTTTAAGGTGTTTTCTGTTTCTAAAAAGTCATGCTCTTCTGAGAGACAGCTTAAAAAGTTAAACTACTGCATATGGCATGCATGCAATTAGTGCAATGTGTTTCTGCATCCCCTGCACTCATTGCTTGAAAACCTTACTGTTGTTATTTGTGCATTAATTGTGCATGAGTATTTTTTTAGTGTCCCTGAAAATTGGCCCCTGCATTTTTAGTGTGGTGCGCAAGAAGAACTCAGTGGAGGCAATGCTGAAGACTGCAATGCAGAGTCAGCTGGACGATGTAAAGCTGGGCCTGAATCAGCTGCAGGCAGCACTGCAGGATATACAGGAGTCTAGACACAGGTACAGTCACTCTCAGATGCACAGTAAAGCAGGCACATCAGTTGTCACGAGACATCCAGGAGTAGGGGCACTGCATGCTTGTACACATCACAGCTTTTGCATGGTCCATACTTGGACTAGCAAGAAATACTATTCACATGTTGTCCCAGGTTGAGGAAAATGCTTTGATCAGGAAAGCAGCATTCAAACCATAAAAATGCAGAGCACAAAGATTTTATGCAAGAGCATAGTTCTTGCTTCAGCTGATAACATTATGACTGTGAATTTGGGAAAGTTCAGCCATTGGGATGCCAAGGAGACCAATATTTTTCATGTTTTTGCATATGTGCCTTGATGGCTTCTGGCTGCTGCTACTCCTCACATTCAGGATGAACTGATCAGGGTAGGTGAAAATGTGAGGATTCATGTTCAGAGGGCCTTACCAAGAAGGCAGGCATGACTAATGTGAAGACCAGGGAGGAGACAAGAGGCCTGATAGCATGAACTGGCATTGATCCCCTTGGCTTGGCATCCAACTAGGTGCATTCTACCACACCCTGTGGAGCAATGGTCTAAAGTGGTGTGTCACTCTTGCCACTAAAAGTATGCTGGCATAGGTGGCACACATGCTTAAGGGGAGGGTTTGACATTTGTATGGTGTTTTGAGCTGTAACTCACATGCATTGGAAAACTGCACTGTAGTGTTATTCAATACTTCAATGAATAGCACACTGTTTGCCATCATGGAAGCTTGTATGTCAAACACACAACAGTGAGATTCCAACACCTTGTTTTTTTGTCATGGTGTGTTTGTGGTTGCCACATATGCTTGCTGACCGTCGGTGTGCGGCGTGCCCAGTCTGCAGGAGATCGAGGCGGCGCTGGCCGAGGTGCCCGCCCTGCTGCCGCAGTTCTCCGATCTGCGCGAGGAGAGTCGTCTGCACCAGCAGTACGAGGCGGCCGTCTGCACCATGGACTTCACGCTCATGATCGACAAGTTCGTGGAGCGCGCCCAGAAGGTCATGCAACAAAGCACGTTGCTGGCAGCGCACAAGGTTTGTGGGCGCCCCCCCCCCCATCCACTTTCACGGACTGCTCCCGGTCGTGTTCCGACTGAGATGAGCCTCTCCCAACACCAGTACTGCTGGCGCCGAAAATGTTCGATACGTTTATGAGGGTTGCTCTGATTCTTGCGGAATGGGTTTGCTTGGTGAATAGGGCCTGTCCGTGATGAAACCAATGTATTCACTGGGGCCTACTCTACTCGATAGACAGTGGCACAAGTTTCGTCGCTGCAGACACTCCCAGAACAAAGCATGAGCTTATTCGGCACCCAACACTTGCATTGCCAACAGTTTTTTTTTATTTGACACAGGTGCACACGTGCATCGCCAACAGTTGTGGGCACAGAACCAGACTAGTGACCCCTCCCGCCAGGAGCAGCTAATGTTGTTCGTGTGCCGTTGGCTCGTGGTGACCGCCGGTGGGTCGGTGCTGCGGCAGTACCTGATCGAGCTGGAGCGGACCCGGGACCGGCTGCTGCTGGACCTGCTCCGCAAGCTGGGTGGCCACAGCAGCGAGGTGGAGCGGCTCAAGGCACATTTCAAGGAGGTGGAGGCTCTCTCCGACAGACTTGGTGAGCCCCTCCCCTCCCCCGCTTACCTGTCCCCGTGACGCACGCGTTTCGAGTTCACGCAATAATGTTACGCAGTGCGTGTTCATTGTTCTTCGCTAGGAAGTGGCCGTTTCCGACGACCGTAAACGTGCGCCGGTTACACTAAGGACATCGCTGTTCCGGTGTCCGCCACTTGCCCATACGAGAGCTGCGTCTGTGGCGCGTGGTGGCCGCGGGGCGTGCCGACCTGCGCCGCCGTCCGCCAGGGAAGCAGCTGTGGCTGAAGCTGAGCCGCACGCTGGCCACGGTGCGCCGCGAGCCGCAGGAGATCGTCACGGCGCTGCGCATCATCGAGCGCGAGGAGCAGGCCGACGCCGAGCTGCTCAGCGGCGGCCACCACACCGACTACGTGCCGCCCGGACGGCCCAAGCGCTGGAGACAGCGCGCGCTCCAGGTGCGCCGGCTGGGTGACGTCACGGAATGTCACGTCTGGTGTGGCCCAGCCATGTTCAAAGGCTGCCGACGGGTCATTGTGAGATTTTGAAATCGCGAGTATGATCGTAAGCTGCCATCGAATTAAGATATCATTTTAAGCACCTAGCGTGTGATGCGTCGCTGAGAACGAGTCGAGGAAGGTCAGGGGATGTCAAATATTCTAAGCTCTTGGAGGGTATTCCTTCTTCACGCGAGTGCGATGCTCACGGAGCATCTGTATGCTCTGATGTCCAAGGGATGTAAATATCTAATTTGTAGACATGTCGGGTTATGACCAGTGGCACAGTTCGCGCAGTATGTGGCAAACGAGACGCTGGCAGACGTATAACTTTTCATTTGTTCTCACATAGATGAATCCAAGAAGTAAGGTTGATACCATTCGGGAACTGGTACCAGTACGCTGGATCAATGCGCTGGAAGTCTATCTTTCACGATATGTTCACAGCTGGAACTTCAGTGAAGTCAAGTTGCAGGACAACTAATGAATAACGTTGCTTGAAAATGGACATGTAGCTTAAAAACTAGAAGATTTTACTTCTTGGGAAGGGCACGGCTGAGAACTGTGCCAAGTGATCAAGACGACTATTTCAGTTCAGAATCCTATACAGTGTGGAACGCTCCCTTTAAGTTTCGTACCGCTTCTAGGCATGGTGCCGTACGGACATGCTAAGATGACAGGACGGACATGTTAAGCTGAATAGGTCCATTTTCAGGAGCATTTAACCTCTGACTTGGCCCAGGTGGATCAAGTATCGATCTACCAGCATACAACTTATTACCAATCGCGAGATGTTGTGTAGACCAATACACCGTTGTAGGAAAACACAGACAGACGTACGTCCTTCTTTGGTGACGTCTAAATGCCAATATAAGTAAAAGGGCTGTGTTTTGGGCCATTATCAGGCCATTTAGGCGCTCTACTTATATTCCTTCTACATTACGTACTACTACTACTACACTACTTTGTATTATTTTTGGTCTGGAGGGGCAGCATATGAAATGTGGTTTCTGTTGAATATAAGTTGAGACAATGTGCGAAGTCGACACGATGACCTTTGACCTAGGCCACGGGATCACTTTCGCGTAAGTGACCCATGATTGCACAGATCGATATATATATATATATATATATATATACACATATAAATATATATGTATCTATATCTATATATATATATATATATATATATATATATATATATATATATATATAGATATAGATACACATATATATATACATATATAAATATATATATATATATATATATATATATATATATATATATATATATATATATATATATATATATATATATATATATATAGCTAATGCTTTCTTTTTTCTGTGTTTGCTGCGTCGGTCAAACTGATCAATGTCATCCAAGGATCTAAAACCGCTTCAGGTCATATCCCGTGGACTATGACGACGTGCGTTCTTACGCTTTTGGAACACCACATGCTAATTGTTCAAGGTTCTGGAGGATGCGGTCAACACCCGGGTCGAAGCCAACGCGTTCGAGAGCCGCGTTGACAATAAGATGTGGCTTGTGCGGCACCTGGAGGTGGGTGGATGGTCTGTGGGCCATGTCGTGGCATGGCAGTGTCATGCGCCTGAATGCCGTGCCCGACTGTGAACATCTCACGCGCGGTGCTCGTCTCGGAGTTACTCGTCCAGCCGCGGCCATGACTGTTTGGTTTAAAGCATGTTTGATTGTGATCAAAAAGATGTTTTTACGGTATTTGCCATGTTTATGTGCACATGACATCACAACTATGAGCAAAACTGCTGGCACAATTGGGCAGTTTCGCGTCACATGATGCGTGCCAAGTTCAGCCACTTTCTCACGCCAATCTCGCCCCACGTCTCGTATTGACCGTGACGCTACGCATTACGTGTGACCGTGACGCTATACACTACGTGACTGTGACGCTACGCACTACGTGACCGTGGCGCCACGCACTACGTGACGGGCTCGTGACGGTGCGCACTACGTGACGGGATCGTGGCGGTACGCACTACGTGCGACCGTGACGCTACGCACTACGCGACTTTGGCGCCTCTTCGGGGCGTACATGACGTGGCTCCCGCCGATCCTTGTACCGTGTTTTGCCAGATGTAGTCGTCTAACGTGACAAGGCGCGAAGCCGTCTGATAGGTCTGCGAACCCCAAGGCCGGTGTAGCGTGCCGCCACTGCAGACGAACTTTACCTCACCGTCTGCACGACCGGTGCGTCTGTCTCCGATGTGGCGAGCAGCGCTGATATCTGACCGCCTGTTCGGCAGGTGTGTCGCCAACTGGTGCTTGAGGACCTGCAGGTGGTGGTGAAACTGTGCGTCGTCTGCTTCCCGCCTGAGTACGACATCCTCAACACATATGTCAAGATGTACCACACCGCGCTATCCAAGCATGTGAGCACAGCAGCGCCGCGAGGGTACTCACCGTTCTGAACGTCTTTTGTGGTAGCCGGCGGTAAAATGACACAGTTTGTTCACATGTATAATGATTCTTGCCAGTACAAGCTATAGGCAAGTCACATGCTCAAATGAATTCCGGATTGGCGAACGGCTTGCCAAGCCTCCGTGATGACTCAGACACTGACAAGCCGTTTGTCAAAGGCGGTCTCGTTGTTTTGTAACATTGTATGCGTGGGGAGCAGCTGACACTAGCGAGCCGGCCGCTGAGTCGGCCTGCGAGCGCCAGGTGGCGCCGCCGGTCTGACCCACTGCGTCATGTGGCGCCGCCCGTCTGACCTACTGCTCCATGTGGCGCCGCCCGTCTGACCCACCGCGCCATGTGGCGCCGCCCGTCTGACCCACTGCGTCATGTGGCGCCGCCCGTCTGACCCACCGCGCCATGTGGCGCCGCCCGTCTGACCCACTGCGTCATGTGGCGTCGCCTGTCTGACCCACTGTGCCATGTGGCGTCGCCCGTCTGACCCACTGCGTCATGTGGCGCCGCCCGTCTGACCCACCGCGCCATGTAGCGCCGCCCCTCTGACCCACTGTGCCATGTGGAGTCGCCCGTCTGATCCACTGTGCCATGTGGTGCCGCCCGTCTGACCCACTGCGCCATGTGGCGCCGCCCCCTCTGACCCACTGTGCCATGTGGCGCCGCCCGTCTGACCCAATGCGCCATGTGGCGTCGCCCGTCTGACCCACTGTGCCATGTGACGTCGCCCGTCTGACCCACTGCGCCGCGCCGCAGCTGATGGACACGATCGCCTCCGGTCTGGAGGGTAATGAGTACTTCACACTGCTCTCTTGGAGCCAGCGCACGTACCCGGGGCCAGAGCTGCTGGGCCACCCCAGCTTGGGCATCAACGTACATGCGCTGCCACCGTTGCTCGATGCTGACACCCGCGACAAGCTCGTCAAGGATTATGTTGAGGTGGGGACCGGCAGCGTTCTGATGTTGGCCAGGGCGCGTCCTCGCCGGCCCTGTGACATCGGCTACGCTTGAGATTTTCGTCAGTGGTTTTGCTGTGCGGTATCATAAGCTTTGACTGGAGCAACACAGAAGGCCAGAATATCAACAGACCAAATATCGACAAGTCTCTATGTTTCACCTGATTTTCATGCATCAGCGAGGAATAAAGCCGGTAGAAGGGATTTTTTTGTATCTGTACGCTCCTTGTAGCTGTATTTAACAACTCTCGGTAGACTCAAATGTTGGGAGCAAGTAGCGTTCAAGCTTTGCGTCACAAACTTTAAATTTGAGACACCGGCCTCAGCTAAAGCTTCTCAGCGTTTCAAATGGCACGGCAGGTGTGAAATTTGTTTCTTAAAGCATATTATGTCAGGAGGAGTGTGAAATCATAGAGCAAAAGAATGCGTGTGTGTGGATGGAGAATGCCCAGTAAGAGCCTATTTTCGAGCGTCGTGTACCTACTGTACGAGCGATTCGATTTAACCTTTTTGTTGCTATTTCTGTGAGGTGAACACTGCATTTTATGTCGGTTGCTTTTACATTGGAGGCTGGCTGCTGCCTATGCTAAACTGCCGCGGAATGTCGTCATTTAATAAGGCGAAAAATCGTCTGACAAGACGAATTGTGGGCCGTTTGCCGTTGTGCTTTCATTGCTGACCTTGTGCTACCGCCACCTGTTGTGTAAGCATATGACGTTGTCACCGGTATGCGCTGCGTTACGGGCTATCCCCGGCCTGGCAGCTGCATTACGGGCTATCCCCGGCCTGGCAGCTGCGTTGCGGGCTATTCCCGGCCTGGCAGCTGTGTTGCGGGCTATTCCCGGCCTGGCAGCTGCGTTGCGGGCTATTCCCGGCCTGGCAGCGGCGTTGCTGGCTATTCCCGGCCTGGCAGCGGCGTTGCTGGCTCTTCCACGACCTGACATCATTGGTGTGCCGCAGAAAATCGAGGCGAACTATCAGTCGTGGCTGACGAAGACGATCGAACAGGAGGCGGCCGACTGGCGGCGTGACGAACCGCCGGACGTCGACGGTGACCGCTTCCTCACGGCCGCGCCACTCATTGTCTTCCAGATGATCGACCAGAACCTGCAGGTGGCCAAGTCGGTCAGGTGGGTTACCGTGCTGCACTGGGGATGTCCTGGGCCGGAAATCCAGGCTAGTACGGACCCTTAACCTTTTTAGAACTTAAAGTCGTATGCAGAGCACAGGATCGTCCAGACAGGAAAGTATTTGTATCACAAGTTGGCGACCAGGTATCCATGTGCAGAGGCCATCGTGCCCAATGTACGTGTGTGATAATCGTCTAAATGTGTGATGCATGCTTACCGGAAATCGGGCGAAATCGAGCAATCGGGCGCCGTCTGTTAAGTAGCAGGGTCCGTAAGCGTACCAATGATGGAGCTTAAAGGTCATGGGTAACGAAGTAGGAACGACAGATGCATGCATGCGACTTCACATATTTCGGACGTACATGTAATATTGATAAATTGGTAGCGATTACGGGTAATTTACTAGTCAAAAGAGATCATGTGTATGCCCTCGAACCCAAGCCACCCATGCGTAGCTCCCCTGATGGTATAGGGGCAAAGACCACCTATATTCAGCATTATGCTCTTTTCTGATATGACTTCGCGAGGCTCCCATTTGATATTCGCTTCTCAAGAATCGAAATGGGGAACTTGTAGCGGTTCAGGATGGGCAAGAAATGGACACAATTTCAAAGCTCCTTGAGGGTGCCACTGGTGTCCTTGAGTTTGCCACAAAATGCCCATCTTTGATGAAGTCAGTCGAGGCTGCACTCGGCTGTTGCCTTTTAAAGGAGCCCATATTGTGGTGGGTCAGCGTGGAATCCGGACGTCGCTCAACGCAAGTATGCGTCGAGGCGCTCCGATGGCTGGACGCAGTCCAAGTTGGATTGGATGTAAGGATGACAAGAAGCGAAGCGATATGGCCTTTTCCATTTGGTGTGTCGCGTGGAGCTGCCGCACGTGATCGCACGGCGCGTGATCCGCTGGCCGCTGGATGTCGGCCAGTGCCGTGGCATAAGCGGCAGGGCGTGTGTGATTGGTTTCACTGGCTCTCCGGTGCTGCTTTTTCTGCCGTTTCTGCTCGCCTTCTGCGCTGCTGCCCTTCTGCTCCCGGCCTGTCGGTTGACCCTGATCATTGTACGGGATGCGACTGAGCCTGACCAACCCGTCCACTAGTGGCGTGTCGTGACGGGTGTGCGTGTGTGCCGTTTGCAGTGACGACTTCGCAATGCAGGTGCTGTCCGTCAGCCTTGCCCAGGTGACCAACTTCGGGGACCAGTACCGCCAGGTCATAGTGGCATACAAGGTTCAGCACTTCGTGGACCGTAGCCAGGTGAATCTGACGCCACTGCGCACCACTGGTGCGTGTACGCGGGCGAGCGTGTCCTGTTCCATGGGGGCCCATGTGACTGTTGGTATATATATATATATATATATATATATATATATATATATATATATAAACATATATGCTTGATTGATCATTTTTGCTATCTGTTCGTGCGGAAGAGTTCCTGCAGTATATTTCAGTGCACTGTCTTCAATTCTTGTAACACTGGCTGATCATTTCAGATCCGTTACTTCACTCACTACGTAATAGCGATCGTGAACAACTGCTCCAGTATCATGGAGCTTGCCAAACAGACCAAGGACAGGTACTGGAAGCCGGCCGCGAACGACCACGGCGGCACCAAGGCCCTGGAAGGCCTGCTCCTTGCCTATCGGGTCAGTGACCTGCTCTCGTCGCCAGCCGCACCAAACAGCCAAACGGTGCAATACTGGCCACCCAGAGCCGGAGTCTCGAAACAAACGAATGTGCGGTCGCTCATGATGTCCAACGGGGTGCTTCTGCTTGCTGAATGCAGCCAGTTATTGTGTCGAGAGTAATGGCTGCGGTCGTATTGACCTCTGTAAACTGGTGGTCGCAGAGTTATGTGTTCTTGTTTTGCCAGTTGTGCTTATTGCTGTCCCCTTTTGCACTGTGTGGCCACATCCAAGTCAGACCTCGGATCTGCAGAAACACATGTGGGTAGGTGTCATTTGATATAATTGGTACAGTCTGAAAGCGCTCCATGTTCCGGCCAACTCCTGCCCATAAGTCGCATATGTGAAGGCGGGTAATCGGATTGGATGCACCCGAGCGCCATTGGAACTCACGCCGATAGGTAATGCACCCCATTCTCCCGCCGCTGCTGCTGTGCTGGACCGTTTTGCGGATGAGTTTTACGTGGATCCGCACGTCTGCGCGCGCAGAAGCTGCGAGACGACACGATCGGGTTTCTGCTGGAGGAGATGTCGCTAGACCTGGAGCCGCACTTCCGTGACCTGCTGACCCGGAAGTGGATGACCTCGCCGGAGGCGGTCAACACCATCTGTGCCACGGTCGAAGACTACTGCCATGACTACGTCCACTTGAACGGCGACAGCTTCGACACGATCGTGCTCGATGCCCTGGCTATGATCTACCAAAAGTACCTGACGGCGCTGCTCCAGAAACGCATGACGTTCAAGTACGTGACCGGCAGCAGGAGTGTTTCTGTAAACTGAACATGATTCGGGAGGAACCGCAGCCTGTTGAGCCAGTTCGGGTCGGTCGTGGGGGTGTGGCGGTGTTGTGGCGCGACCTCTGGACGAGCGTGCCGGACGCCCGGTCCCCGGGCCGGTCTTGTCCGCCGGGTCCCCGGACCGGCCGTGTCCACCGTGTCCCCGGGCCAGCCGTGTACGTCTAGTGTCCGGGCTGGCCGTGTCCGCTGACAGGGCAGTGTCGGCCAGGTCCCTGGAGGAGCGCCAGCAGGGGGCGGACAAGATCGTGTCGGACACGACCCAGCTGACGGAGACGTTTGAGCGCATCTCGGCTGCGAGCCGGCCCGGCGAGGACACCAGTGCCGATACCATCCTGCGGGCCATGGCCGAGGTGGGTGGCCCTGCTCGCCGGCTTGTGGCGCCAGGCTGGTGGGCCGGTCCAGCCTCGTGCCTGTGTGGTCCTCTGGAAGTGAGTGTCTCTGCCCGCCGGCCGAGGCACGGGATTAGTGGTCCTTGTCGCTGTGCTCCTATATATATGGTCCTAGACGCCATCCTAGGTTGTCACGCCTGTTCGCGGCCATCTATCTGTACTGTCGCGCTTCTCTGGCTGCTCTGTTTTCACCTGGTCTCAGGGACCCCGTTGACCTGAGCAGCTTTATGTATAGATAACCCGGGAGGTGTCCGTGCGCGTTTTGCCCATCAGCTTCTTCACCCCCGAATGTCGAGCTCTAATATTACCCAAAAGACGCTTGGGCGGATGGTGGTGGCCGTAACCGCCTGTTGCCCGTCTGTGGACCGCCTCCGCGGATGGGCACCGGTTGACCTCGCCGCTGGACTGACCTCGACAGACTGACCGTACAGACTGACCTCAGCGCTACCGTGCGAGTGGGCGTGACGTGACTCGAGGCGGCGCGGCGCCCAGGTGCTGCGGGTGGAGGACGCCGACCTGCTGACGCTGGAGCTGCACGGTCTGCTGCGCCACTGTCCGGACGCCACGGCCGACCACCTGACCGCGCTGCTGCTGCTGCGCGGCGACCTCGGCCGGCTGGAGGTGCGACAGCGCGTCCAGCAGCTGCTGGAGGCGGCGCCCGCCCCCGGCGCAGCCACCGTGCTGTCTCGAGTGCAGGTGCCCAACGGCCTGTTCAACCTGACCTGAGCGAGGACGCGGTCTGCCGGACCTGACCGGGGCCATGTGGCAGTTTGCTGAACGTCACCCGCGCAGCTGTGCTCGGCGCGTCATTGATTCCACGCTAGCTTGGCGTTTGTAGGCAACCGTTGGGCAACCGATAAGCAGATACTGCGAAAGAACAGGTTGGGTCGCTAAAGACGCAAGCTGATGGTGATAAATGGTGCGTGATATATGCCTTGGCTATGCTTCGTATGTTGTTATTGTTTGCAAGGGGCATCGGCAAGAGGGCAAAACTGAAATACAGCAACACACGTAAGGTGGAACAGAGGCCACAACATAGCCATGTGGATTGCGCAGTGAGCATTGTTAAGCATTATGCATACGTATGCAATGCTACCTCTTTAAGAATGTAGGGATGGCTCAATAAAAGTATGCACTCAGAAGTTCTTGAAATGTTGATGACAGGCTGCTGTTTGCACGAGGCTAGAAAGGCAAAAGCAAAATATTAGAAAACAACCCAGTTTGCGTCCGGCTGATGTGTGGCGCCTGATAATAGAATAGGCCTGCTACACCCAACTTTTGGAGAATACCGAATGCATTTGACATACATGGGATTGCGTTAGATAGTTCAACCTGACAATGCTGATGTCCATGTCATCCTGCACATCCTGCTTGGTGGTATTTCAAACGACGTGTAAAACTAACTGAAGGCATGCTGTATGCACGGAATAGTAATGCACAGCACAGCTGCTTGATGGCAAAGTCAATGCAGAACATGCTTTAAACTGAAACTATAAGACCACACCCTATTTGAATAACGAACCTGACGCTGCTATAGAACAACCGATCTAAACTCGTCACACGAGTGTCCTATGAATTTTCGAACATCTCCTGAAACGTATGTACTCGTTTCGGGTCACATTAATGCATATTGCGAAGCCGTTATTGAAGCTGCATGTTGCATTGCCCAGGTAGCAGCACGTTGCAAGTGGTTGTCGGAGCGACCATGCGCCACACAAGCCGCTTCCGATTGTCATAAGGTACATGCTCCGCGGCGGATTTATGCGCAGGTTATAGCGAATATACCCCATATTTTGGTCGTGTTCTTTGTGAGATCTTTGAGAAAAAACGAGATGGGGATATAATCGCAAACGATTGGAGAGGAATCTAATTGTAGGCTGCTGATCTTATGCCAGTTTTAAGTTGTAGTGGCCTGTAACAACCAGAAAGTGATGTCTTATGTCAGCCACCTGCAATACTAATCCTGATCTCCTGACTGACTTGCACTGACCCTTCTCTCCCCCCTCTTCCCGTGAAAGATCATATGCGTAGGTGGGGCTGATGCATAAGCGCTGCGTCGGCGACCGCAAGCCTGTTTTCCTGAGCCGCTGGGCAGTGTCATGACCTGCCCTGGGCAGGACAACAGCCCGCTCGGCACGACCAGGCCAGTGAGTCCAGCTGAGCGGTGCCGATCTGGGCACGCCCGGACCTGGACACGGTCCCGGCTACACTCCCGAGTGGAGCCGCGCTGGCGGTGGCCGGCCGGGCAGAGCTGGACACGCCCGGAACCGGACACGGCTACACTCCCGAGTGCAGCCGCGCTGGCCGCGGTCGGCCGGGCAGAGCTGGACACGCCCGGACCTGGGCACGGCTACACTCCCGAGTGCACGCCAGCGCGGGAGTGTAGTGTAGCCGGGACCGGCTACACTCCCGAGTGGAACCGCGTCGGCCGTGGTCGGCCGGGCAGAGCTGGACACGGTCCCGGCTACACACCCGAGTGGAGCCACGTTGGCCGTGGTCGGCCGGGAGGTGCCGATCTGGACACGCCCGGACCTGGACACGTCCCGGCTACACTTCCGAGGCGAGCCGCGTCGACCAAGTCGACCGTAGTCGACCGTAGTCGGCCGTAGTCGACCAAGCGGAGCTGACGCGCTGCACCGGTGACGTCGCCTCAGCCAGCGCTTCCAAACACACCGTCTGCCGCTTTTCAAGCCGAGCCCCGAGACGCCCGGTCGTAACACTACATTCCCCGACGAGGTGGGGCGCTGTCGGCCTCCTGGTGGCTTAGCCGATCTGTGGCGTCGGTGACGTGGTCTGTTGCGCTGACAACCGTCTCAGCGCCGCCCGAGGTGCGGGTCAGGCGGATGGCCCGGGTGGCCGGCGACCCTCACATGGCCTATTCCTGCTCTTCGCAGGCATTGCATTGATGCGTTTAAGACGCTGTTGTCCCCTGGGTCGCCCGCTACTTGCTTGATGTCGTGGTATTGCTCACTGTAATGGTTTGCCTGCCATCCTTTTCATTTCGATGTTTCGAGACTGTTATGAGAGGTGTTGCATCAGTGTACGATTGGGGTCATACGGAGCGTTTGGTGGAATACATGAGGCTTTCGATGAAACTAAGAGTACTCCCTCCGCTTTTCTCTCATCTTTTATTCATAAATGTGAAGACTTTCGGGGAACAGTACGACTTTGAAAACACGGCGCCTTCCTTGTAGAATCATGGTAGGTTTGTGCTACAATATTTCCTGCGGACTCCGTTCGGATTGAAAATGGGTCAAGAAATGAGGCATCCCTCTCCCGGACTCTGGAGTCCGTAGTCTCTGGAGCGAGCGCGCCGTATATTCGGACTGCCTTAGTTTCATTAAGGTCTGTTTCGTTTCAAGACCATTCTGTCTCGAATTGTGTGGGAAATCATGCAAATGTTTTGTGGTATATCACATGATGACTGTTGACAGCCAATGGCAAGATGAAAGGAAATGCAATCCAGGCTAGTTTGAAGAATGCAGCAAAGACGTGCCGCTATTTTATACTCCAAAAGCGTGAACAATGTGCAAGATCATTCACTTTCATTGACAGGATTAACACCGCGTATAACACGCCGTCTGTACACCACATGCGTATGCATAAACACGCCCGCATCTACACGCTGTAGCGCGCTGGCAAACGTCTAGGTATGCCGGCAGAGCGGCAACGCATGCTCCGGAACCTCCACGCGCTGATTTACAAACATTCATCAATGGGGCAGAACTTTCTACAGCGCTCGCGGCGCCAGGCTTCTGTCACATCTGGACGAAAACGAGCGGCTTTAGAAAGCAGGTATTACACCACTGAGCGGCTTCGTCAGAACAGTTAAACCGGATCTTCCACCTGACGAGATGTGTGGCAAGGGGATAATGTAAGTTAGGGCAGGTTAGGTTAGGTTATGTTAGGTTAGGTTAGGCTAGGTTAGGTAACATGAAATGGCATCAGGGCGCGACCTTTGCAATGGTGCGTGCTTACCAATCACTTCGCAGTAATCCACAGCGTAGTTTGTAAGGAAAGGCACCGCCCACTGTGGTAGGCGTCAGTACGGAAAAAGGAGCGCCATGCACTGATGGTGTTCTTTTCGCGTGGCTGCTGGGGCATATACAAGCTGCCTAATTCCCACATGCATTTTCAATTTCGTCCACCGACTGACTTGCGCGCTCTTGGCACTAGATCCGGATCCTGATCCTGATCCAGATCCAGATTGGTACTAGATCCGATTTTGATGTAGACAACCTGTTATATCTTTGCGGCTATTACGGTTTCTAGTTTTAAATGTAGTCCATGGGAACTGTGCTTTTACAGAGTACACCCGCGTGCAGTCATTGACTTGTAAGTCATCTTAACGTCCAGCACGGTGGGGAAGAGCACACGGCAGTCAACAGCATCAGGACGAATGTGCAGGTACCGAAACGCGGCAGGCGGCAGGCAGCGTCCAGTGCCACTTCCATACCCATCACCTCACCAACCACACATGGGCCTAATCCGACAAACAGTCCCTTAAGTTCATTGGCTGTAACATTGATCACCTTGCGGGTAGTTTGTTTACCGCCTATTATCGGCTTAATGAGCTGTCACGTTGACTTCCGTACATCCTCACGGACGCACAACTCAACATGGTCATGACTGACCTCGTGGCGAGACCCAGCGCTCGGTTTGCGTTGCGATGCCCAGTGGACCTGTTTCCGTGCACGGCTGGCGAGCCACGGCGGCGAGCTATGGCAGAGTTGGTCATGCATGACACCGGGGGACGCTAGGACTCCAGCTCTTTGTCTGGTGTGAGTGTGGGCATCGAAGATGGCTTAAATAGGTCACACAATTGTCTCACTTGAACGTGACGGAAGGGTAGCTGAAAATAGTCCTCCAGCAGGCCCGCACAAGGTCATGCTTTGACTCGTTGTGGTCGGCGCAGTGACCGGTCACAACATGGTGAGCGGAGACTAGTTTTGCGCGGCCTAAGTCGAGGGATGTCGACAGAGGCGTGGGCACATTTATCCCAACTGAAGTAGCAGAAGTCAGTACGTCAACGTTTCCCAACATCGTGTCATTTCGTGATTGACACATCAAAAGCGGAGCCGGTCGAGTAGGGTAGCTGACGGTACCCCTGAGTCAAAGGATGATCGAATGTAAAATCACATAGCACGCGCTCAATGGTTTGGAAAAAGTGCATTTGGCAAATGCGTTTTTGTCAACTGCTTAATGGTAACTGCGGAGCGGTGTTATGGAAAGGCGAAGGCGTGCCAAAAAGTCAAATCGGGCAGATGACAAAATGCAATGGGGCGAAATGTAAGGAATTCGACATGCCCAAGTAGCAAATTGCAAAACGGCGACCACAAAAACGCCGACATGCCAAAATGACGAAGAGCTTAATGGTGAACTTTAAATGAATAAATGGGGACACGGCAAAGCGATGACGTGCCAAAATGCTGGCTGACTGGCTACCTAACTCAATAAATCCGGATGACACAGAAGAAAGACGCCGCCTTTGAACTCACCCACCCGTCACGTTTATCGGCAAAACTCGCGGGGTTTTACCCGGGTTGTGGGCCAGCATAGCGTGCTCGCAACCCGGTGAATGGGGCGTGTGCAGGTTACAAAAGAAACGAGCACAATAACGTAAACATTATGAGCACATCAGTTCTAAAAGCTTATAGGCGGTTAACAAACTACCCGTAAGCTGATCAATGTTACAGCCAATGGACTTAAGGGACTGTTTGTCGGATTAGGCCCGTGTGTGGTTGGTGAGGTGATGGGTATGGAAGTGGCACTGGACACTGCCTGCCGCCTGCCGCGTTTCGGTACCTGCACATTCGTCCTGATGCTGTTGACTGCCGTGTGCTCTTCCCCACCGTGCTGGACGTTAAGATGACTTACAAGTCAATGACTGCACGCGGGTGTATTCTGTAAAAGCACAGTTCCCATGGAGTTCATTTAATATATATATATATATATATATATATATATATATATATATATATATATATATATATATATACGCCTTTTCAAACACAATACCGCTTTAGCAAATTGCATTTTTATTTGTATAGCGAGAGCCCTAGCGACAAAAAACATGGCCTTGCCTGAGGACAGGTGACACACCGTTAAATCGAAGGCGTGCAAATTGCTCCATATGCGCAAA